GTAGTGTGGTGCTAGTTGCTGCAGTAGTGCGGTGCTAGTTGCTGCAGTAGTGCGGTGCTAGTTGCTGCAGTAGTGCCGTGCTAGTTGCTGCAGTAGTGTGGTGCTAGTTGCTGCAGTAGTGCGGTGTTAGTTGCTGCACTATTGCTGTGCTAGTTGCTGCACTAGTGCTGTGCTAGTTGCTGATGTCTGACGTACTGACGCCTTGGGCAGACGGACGCCGATGAGCTGCAAGTGCCGCTGCTGGAGGAGCTCGTCCTCATCAAAGCCGTGAGTCGTCGCCTCTTGGCCTCTCCCAGCCCTTGGTCACCTCTTCTTCCTTGGTCACCTCTTGCCTCATGATCACCTCTCTCCTCATGATCACCTCTCACCCCCTTGATCACCGCTCACCTCCTGATCACCTCTCACCCCTTGATCACCGCTCACCTCATGATCACCTCTCACCCCTTGATCACCGCTCACCTCATGATCACCTCTCACCTCATGATCACCTCTCGCCTCATTACCATCTATCTACTTCATAATCACCCTCTGCCCTCTCACGTTATTTTGCCAGACCTGAAATGTGCGATTGTTTGGAACAGAGCACTCTATAAAATGCTAGATTCGGCGATCATAAATGTGAGTCAAGTCTTGCTAATACTTTTATATGTAGTCTTACGGCAGCTCAGGGATTGCTTACCTCAACGCAACGCTTCACGCGAGTGTTTTGCTCTGTTGTATTTAATTATGTAGATGTATGAAAAATATTGGAAGAGATTCAGTTCCTTTTTTCCTGTGAAGGCTGTGCATTCATCTAGTACTTATGTTATGTAGACTTTAGAAAGCCTTGATTGTGTTTACGTTAGACCAGCAGCACCAACTGACCGAAATTATTGAAGAAAGATTCATACTTGCTTGAATGCGTTTGCTGCTACTGAAAAAAAAACTGTTTGCTGCATTTAATTCTTCGGGAGTCTTCATTGTCCTCAATGTGACGTCATTGTAAACTTGAGCAGAACGGGGGCGATAAGCTGATTGCTGCTGACGACGAGGCACTGCAGCAACTCATGGTCACCTTGCAGGCACTCAACGTCAAGCTGCACGAATACTACTCACGCAGCCCTCAGACTATCGGCATGACAGTCAGTCTAGTTTATACGTTGCGTCAATATTATCAAGAGTCTAATGATAAGATGTTTGGCTTTGCTTTCAGTCAATTTCGTTGTTTTCAGCATATAGCAATTGTAGTAAACTGCTCTTATTTGCCAAATATAAAGGGTATTAAACTACTCATATTCCACTAGTCACACTAGAAAAGGTTTAGCTAATATTTGTGTATAATTACTTGTGCCAATTTCATAATTATAAATAATTTTGTGCACTTTCCATGTGGTGTTTTTCCCTGTAGAAATATGTTCGTGCATGAATGCATGCAGACTAGTAAGCTTGTCCTTATCTTGACAGAAGTACACTAGAAAATATCACGAGTACATGGCAAGCACTCTTCAGCTACTCACCGCCAGCACCAAACACAATTAGCGCTCCACTACAAGCGCCGTGTCGCATGCCACGTCATTGCTCTCGGCTCCACATTTCCTGTGTTTCACTGACTGGCTCGTCGCTTTAATTTCGAAGCATCACAAACTTTTTGGATGCCATTATAAGGTTTTCGGGTTGTTTATTTTAGCGTTTATCTGAAGCGTTAGTAAATCTTCTACTACTACTATTTTGTTTATGAAGTTTTCAAGTTTATTTAGTTTATCTTCTACACGTTTTATCCGTGTGTTTTTTTTTATTCTAAAACCAAATAATAGAAGTAAAGTTGCAGATGAAGGACTCTTCGAGAGATAAGGAGCAGATTTAGTCTCGAAGCATTTCTGAACTTATTAATGTAAAGTTTTCGATTAAAGGAATATTTTCGTAAGTAAAAATATCGTAGCTTAATAAAGTATGAAGTTTATAAAAATATCCTCATTATCCACGTTTTATTAAATCGACTGCTAATAATGTCATCAGGTCATATGGTTCTTAATGTTGGTCATCTGGCAGCCGAGCTGAACGAAAATCAACTTTGAGAGAAGAGCCACGGACCACCAATTTTTAATACAGGGTTCGTACCGGTCATGGAAAACCTGGAGAGTCATGCAATTTTAATTTTCCAGGCCTCGAAAGTCATTGGATTTCATTTCAGGTAATGGAAAGTTATGGAATTTGCAAATAAAAGAAGAAAAAAAGGAAGTGTTTTTCTGTGCTGCGTGTGTTAAACTGTTAGTGCAGTCCCTTGTTTCCTGCGTCCTATTGGCACGCATGAAACAAGATACTGTGCCACAGTCTCTTGTTTCGAACGTTCTAATTGGTTCTCCAATCACGTGAGCTCAGTTGCATTTGACAACTCTTTGATCTGCTGTGGCAGCGTTCCATCTTTACTCTTCAGTGAACAATTTCTACATCACCATGCCTGGAAAGTGTAAATTTCATGACTTGTGATTAAGAATAGAAGCTTATCGTGACTGGCTTGCCCGCCATCCAAACCAAGAAGGTATGGCGATATCAAGATATGTACGTTGTGCTCGAAAAACTTCGATGTGTCAAATATGGGGGAAGCAGCTTTGAAGAGCTATGCATTTTCACGTTTGCCATTTATCAACTGTAGGAGATGATAAAATATGCACGGTCAGTCGTTCCGTCATGCTAAACCGGTCGTATTCGAATCTTGGAAAATTATATTGATTGGCATGGCCGGGGGTCATGGAAGAGTCCTGGAATTTATTTCTAAATACCGGTACGAACCCTGTGAATACCAATCAGCTCGGCATGGAACGCCTAGTATGAGGTCACCAAGCAGGTGTGATGTGAGCTGTTGTCAATAACCAACTTTGATATGTGGTCAATTACCAACTTTGATAGAATTTCTTAAAATGAGTTGTAGAGTTTTGAGTGTTACGATTCTACGATTGATTGTTGCGTCTGACCTTCATATAATTGTCGAATTTGTCCAGCTTACAACGTTCTGTGATCAGCCCTCGCCTCTCTTCTGGGGAGGCCTTCTGCACAAGCCCGACCTAGCACCACCAGGCCGAGGATCGAAAAATACAGCTGCTGGCCTGCCTACTCGTTCATATAGTACAAAGGTAATTTGTAAAAAAAACATATGAAAAACTTGGTATCGTTAGAAAATGCACAACTATTCGGTAACAATATCCGAGTACGGATTTCAGATCATAAAGTTCGGTTCCAAAGTTCATCGTACCTGCGAGAGGGCTTCAAATAATTCATAGAATACAGACATAACTGAATCGAATGAAGAGAATGATGTCAACGCACCAGAACGATCAGGTACCTACGTTTTATACTGTCTTACATGATTCCTTAAATGAATGTTACGAATGCGGGCACTGTTTTAAAAACAACAACTGATCATGCACAATGTCATCTACCGAAATCGAGTCCAGATAAAATATAAATTCATGGCGAAACTTGGGTGGAAGAACAGCCAAATCATTGACTGTGAAAAGTTAATGGTGACAATCGCGCTACTAGGGGGATTGTTCCTGAGCGCCCCACCGCTGAGCTCGCGGTGTCTGACTGCGGGTCTCAGTTGTGGGGTAAAGTTATTATGTAGGTAGGATTCCTTACATTTCCCTTCTCTGTCTCTCTCGTGCGGGCGGCCGACGTCCCGTGCAAGCGACCTCTTGTTCGAGTGTCTTTGTTTCTGTTGCTTTTCACCTGTCCCTCCTTGTCACTTCGTCTCTTTGAAATGCTAACGCTGCTTCTTTCGAGCCAGCGTCAGCGGGCTGGACAATTGAGACCTTCCGCCCCGTGTGGGTGATGAACAATTTGAGATGTTGAATAATTAAGACCTTCCGCCTCTCTGGCGATGTTATATTTTGACATTCGGTGCGAAATAGTTTAATAGCTGAAGCGCTAGCAAACCACTATTCTATACTACTACTACTAATGGTGACAGTGCCGCAATGAAATGAGCTACCTACGATTGGATTTGCCATTCCGTAAGAAATGAGACTCCTCCCAACCCCCTTCAGAGGCAAGCCACGCAAATCAGTTTGTGTAGATTGCAGTACGAACAGGACAAGCATCTGTTATTGACTTATTACTGTTCGTGATTGCATTTAAAATGATCGGTTAATGACCACAGAATCTAGCAGACGCCCTCAACATCTTCGTGGTTTCTGCACACACATTCTCGTGGAATGTTTAGGACTGAGCACGCTCTCCGCACGATGGCTTCTTGCAGGAGGGATCTTGTTAGTTGATATCCTTAAGAACAAGAAAACTATTACAGCTATTTATTATAAAGAGATTTTGTGAACAATTTACATGAAAATCGCCTGAAACGACTTGCGAAGCAGTATAGGCGCGTCCTCTTTCAACAATAGTAGCTAGTAGCTATTTCAAACTATCGTCAGTCCTGAAAAGATCCGGTCAAATGACACGATTTAGATCTTCTGTGAACAAGGCACGAAAAGTAAACGAATCGGCGACCGGCCACATCAGGCCCACACTCCAGCACCGACATCACTAAAAAAGAATAGAAGTGTCGGTATTGAAGAAATAGGCTCATGGCCTGTTGCCGATTCTTGAATTTTCCGTGACTTGATTCACAAGGGATCTGGCCTTTGGAACCTGATCTTCCCATAACTGACGATTGAATGAGATAGCTGCTGGACTAATTGTCTGGCCCATAATTTGCTAAGCATTTTTTTACTGAACATATGCTCCTGCATACCTTCGTGTAGTCTGTTTTTGAAGCCGTTCATGCTCGGAGCGTCAAAAATGCTATTAGTGAGGCTGTTACACATATCGGTGACTGGCAGCGAGAAGAAATGTTGTCGCATGGACGTGTTACTACGCAATTTTTTAGTTTATAACCGTGGCCCCTGGTGTTGGTTCTTGTTTCAAATTCAAGTAATCCTTCTCGCTTCTGGGACCTTGTATAAGCCATGGGTATACTTGCATGCTTCAATGAGGTTACACGCAGACGTCGATAACTGAGGCTTGGAAGCTTCATAATCTTTCTTCATAGGACTTGCCTTTCAAGCCCGGAACTATTCTTGTTTCGTGTCTTTGAACACTTTCTATAAAAATTTTTGTCCTTTTCAAATTTCGGTGACCACACGACGTTTCAAAACTCTAGGATCGGGCGCACGACAGCAACAAACAACTGCTAACTGCTTCATCGCTTCTGCATCTAGGACTCGAAAGAGCGTCTGAGCAGTGCACGTCGTCTATTCAGACTATTGGCTATATTAACTTGACAGTTGACACTATGTTATGTTAAGGGGACCGACCGGGCTAAAATTTGAATATTTTGAGTTTTTCTGTTTCTTATCCCATCTTAAAGGTTGTTTTCTTGCGAATCGAACGATATAAGTATCGTCCCTGTGCGTCGAAAAATGACTTTGTGACAGCTCCTCAAAGGGAGGTGGGTTTTAGGTCCCTTAACAAAAGCAAAATGTTTTTTTTTTACATTTTACGTATGTATGTGAAGTTTCATGACAATCGGATAATAACTGTAGAAGTTTTCCGTATGCCCGGTCGGTCCCCTTAACATGACAAAGCACCCGCACAAAGAGTTTGGCAGACAAGAGCTGTGCTATGCGAATTTCCATGGAATATCATTTGACATCAACCTAATAGCCCTGACTAAAGGCCATTCGACTTCGTTTCATTCCCAAAATTGAAAAATTCATTAAAATTTAGTACCAAGTAAAATGTACAAGATAGTCAACATTACTTTATTGCCGGTAGATCCTGCAGTCTGCACTGACCTGCAGACTGCAGTGAGTGAGTTAATTTATATAAACCAGCATATCAATGAGCTGCAAGCTGCCCTTGACCCCAACATATTTCTTTTCCATGCAGCCTAGCGGCCCTAGCCCCTTCACCACTGTTGATAAAGAACCCCCTGTGCCACGGAGCTATCAGTATCAGTACACTGCTATCAGTGCTATGTGCTACCTCTTCAGCTCCAGCCAGCCTGTCTGTTCTTCTAAACAATCTAAAGGCTATTCCCCTGCTTGTCCAAGTGTCCATTCTTCTGGAGGCTGAACCTCCACGCTTACCAGTTACCCCCTGCTCCCCTTCCTTTTGGATTTGGTACCAGCTTGGGGAAGAATTTTCACATTCTATTCCAGTTTTCCATTCTTTCTCATGTTTCAAACATATCCTATCTAACCTAACCTGTCACAGAAGGCAAAGAGAAGGGAGTAAGTGTGGAGGAAGAAGATGCTGGTTAACGTCAGGGCTGGGCTTATGCCTGGGAAGTGGGAAAAGGGTCGCCTGCCAGGCTGCCAAAGACCATCACTGCCCTGGAGGCTGGATGTAATGGACCATTGGCATCATGATTCCTGCCTTGTGCCTTCTGGAACGCATAGTGGCAAACCAGACCTTTTTTAGAATCAGTTCATTTTTAATTTCCTCATTTATTCAAGATTTAAACCAATTTCTTAAGTATGATAATGCTGGTATCCAGGATACTTTACTGGTCTACTTATAGGACTCAGAAATGAACTTGAGGGAGAGTCTAAAAAACTCTCTGCTTTGCCACTATGCTGGAACGTAGCCTTCAACACTTCGAGCCGTCCGTATCTAGGCCATGGGATGATGGGTTGAACCAGCCCTTGTTCAAACGGCCACTTATCAAAGGACGATAAATTTTGGAACAGAACTATGCTATCTGAAACCTAACTTCAGATGCGGTGAACATAAAATTACATAATTTAACGATGCCTGGAACTCAGGCTGGAAGTCATATTTGATCTGCGGCCTAGTGGTGCACAACAGGTGGTGGTCACTCAAGGCCGGAAGAGGACAAAGCTGAGTGGTGCACGGCTGAAATCGGGCTGATTGGTGTAGGTCTGGAGAGATCAAAGGCGTTTGATTCAGGGCTTATTGGTGCACAGCTGCACTCCCATGGGAAAGGTGATGAGACAGTCTGGTGCAGGGCCATTCCCATTTATGGCAGTCTGGTGCGGTCTGTGGACCCTGTGGCTTACGGCATTTGTAAGAAGTGACGGTTTGGGCTTAAATCATTGGTGTAGGAGCTATTGGGCATAATCCCTTTGGAGTATCAGCTTGTGGGCTGAGGCATTGCTTGTTTCAAGCTGGTGTGGCAAGATGAGCCTCACATTATGAAGCTTCCAAGCCTCAGTTATTGAAATCTGCGTGGGGACTTCATTGGAGTATACTCATGATTTATAGCCTACAAGGTCCTTGAAGTATCATTAGAATTTGAAACAAGAACCAACTCCAGAGGCCATGGCTATAAACTAAAAAACTGTGCTGCAACTTGTCCAAACAATGACATTTCTTCTCGCTTTGAATCACTCATTATCACTGACATGTGAAACAGCCTCCCTGATTACATTTCTGGTGCTCTGAGTATGAACACGTTCAAGAACAGACTAGACAAAGCTATGGAAAAATATATGTTCAGACTTGAAATGCCTAGCAGCTAGCACCATATCCATATCAAACCCTGTGGAAGTCTAGGTCTCTAGGAGCTAGGGTAAACGCGGTATATTCCGACATCGTAGGTAATTCCGTCACTTCTCTAGTTTTTCCTTTATATTAAGCTTTGTTTTAGTTCCATCACTTCCATGCGTTAATTCAAAGCCGTGTTGTATCCCAATACAGCTCACACAGCAAACGGAATTCGAACATGTGGATGTCGGCAATACGTATCAGTTAAATTTGAAGCGCTGACGCAATACGACTCACCACGTGTCGGATGTTGCCACACAAAATGACGGTCCATTCTAAAGGCTTTTTAATAAATATGGCAACATTTTGTGACGTTTCATCGTTGCTGACGCGTAGTGAAGTGTTTTGAGAGTCATGTGAAGGCAACAGAACTTACGTAACGCATACGTTTTTTTTATAGTTTTTCATTTCTCGATGCGTCCTTAAAGTGTCGGAATATACCGTGTTTACCCTATTTCAAACTTTCCTCAGTCTTGAAAAGATCTGGTCAAATGACACAATTTTAGATGTTCTGTGAACAAGTCACAAAAAGTTCAAGAATCGGTGACATTATGTGCTGAAAAATTGGTGACGAAAAAGTGCCGACATTATTATGTTATGTTATCACTCTGCCTTGTTCCCTCTACCTTGCTCAGATGGCCCTTGCTATGTTTTGGTCATGCTTCCTTTGTTTTTGGGAGTTGGATTGGGTTTCTGCAGTGGCTACTGATGGATGGGGCCATCACCTTGCCTCCATTTGTTCAGTGTAGTCTCCAGTCCCATGGATTGCTTGTCATTCTTGCCGGGTTTCAGTGGCTTAATCCTGCCTCTGTCTGGGACATGTTGGAGTTGGTACTTACCTCCATTTATTTGGGATGGCTGACACTCCCTCTGCCTGCATTGTGGGGTTGAAGGAACAGCTGAACACTTCCTCCTGATATGTGCCCTATATGACTATTAAGAGACTGGTGATGGTATCAAGCATGAATGCCCTGGCAGTCCCTCTTATTTCTGTGTGTGTGATTCACGGCAGAGGCCCTTAACCCAGAAGAGTTCAGCACTCCATAGTGAAAGCAACTGCTACTTATATCACACAAACTGGCTGTCTAGCTACTTTATAGCTTGTGAAGAGCACTGGATCTAATTATGATTTGCTTCCCATTGCTTCACTACACGAGAGACTGCTGACAATGTGGGGAGCATGCACCAACAGAGAGAAAAATGAAACTGAAAATGAGAAGATGAAAAATAGAATTAAATAAACATTGCTGAGTCCAGGTGTTGCAAGTGGTCTGCGCATGACTTCTTCTTCACCTACAACCCGGCATCAAATCAATCAAAACTGATCATATTAAAGATTTGTAAATGCTACCACTCAAGTCTCAAGTGACTCAACAGCCTCAACTAAAAATTACTAAATTACTTGACTCACTCATGACAGTCTTGCTTCTTGGCTTTTATATTGTTTGCTTCAAATATTTTATATTGATTGCTTTCATATTGCTATACATTCATTTCAATTGCTTTTACATTTTTGAATACCTTTTTCAAGGTTTTAAGCTAGTTGTGACTTCTAACAAACACAAATTACAATGAACAAAGTTAAGTCTCTCTTCTTGCACATTCCTTGCCAAATTACAGAGTTAAATTTAAAAATTACATTGCAAAATGGGCAATCATTCAGGTGAGTCCCATTGCCATTTACTTTGTTTTTGTAAAGATTAATAATTATGACTATATTTCAAAATTCTACATTGACAGCATGGCAAAAATCCTGACATTTTAGAATACATCCAAGCATAGCAGTCAAGTAGAGACTTTTTAATCTCTTGTTCAAGTTCATTTTTGAGTCCTATGAGTAGACCCACAAAGTGTCATAGATATTAGATAATAGATATCAGCCTTATCATACATAAGATAAGTATTGGTTTAAATATTGAGTCAATAAAGAAACTAAAAATGAACTGATTCTTAAAAATCTCTGGTTTGCTACTAATACTACTATGCTTCCAAGTGCCACTTTCACAGAGAGTGTAAAACATTTACTCTCTTAGCTATGTGTCAAGAGGCTCAGCTTAGTCACTGTCAGCTTTGTTTAGTTTGTTCATCTTACTAACAAACTTGCACTGGGCCCTAATCACAATGGCAAATCATTTTTGCTTGATAAATGATGTTTTCAATCAATTTCTCTCCTATACCAGTGATACTGTTCATTATTGTACACCATTTTGCATTGAATTTATTGTCAAATTTGCGTCTCAGTCTTTTTCCCCTCAATAATTACATACATTCGAATGCGTATGGGTTAAGTCAGGGTTCTCTCAAGACTTGGTTTCATGAGTACGGTACCCTGGAAGTCTCCCTGCCAGCTATTGAAGATGTTGCAATGAATGATGGAGGAGGACTGAAAAGTTTGAGTTCACCTTTTCAAAAATTAATTTTTAATTCCAACTTCTGTTTAAAGTATTGCAATAATTAATTTCAAGTGATACAAGTAAATTTGTCTGATATGTGTGATTTTGCCTGAAATATTCATGAATCAATTCATGAATAATTTAAATCTCCATGCATGGAGATTAAAAAAATGTTAGGCATTAAATACCTTCACCACTCCATGCCAATATTGTTTTTCTGCCCTAATCTCTGTTTAATCACTCACCTTAGAAGGATAACCAGATGAGATTGTTGATCATGTAAAACTGATATTCTTTGTTTTTAAGCAAATTTTTTCTTAACTGGAGCCTTTGCTAACTGAGGTTCTACTGTAAATGCGCTTTTGGGGGTGTCCCGAATAGCCCCGGGGGGGTGTCCCGAGTAGCCCTGCCGTGCGGAAATGACCGCCATTTTTTTTTTTTGGAATGAGATAGGCAAAATCTGTCGATTACGTTTTCAAGCTGACACCTGGGTGCAACTTTTATGTAAGTAAAATTTTTTAATACGGTGAATATTTTTTTACAACAGACCTTAGCAGAAGTAACTTTTCAAAAATATTGTTTTTCACCATTTTTTTCAGGAATTTTTCAAAGCTAGTGAATGTAGTATTTTTGAACTTCCTTTATACTACATAGATAGGAAAAATGTTGAGGTTTACGCCACTATATTTAGTTTTGCAATATTCCAATTAGTTTTGCTACTAAAACAGTTTTACGCCGTGTCGGAGGACTGTCCCGAGTTACCCCGCCCGTCCCGAGTAGCTCCGGTTGGCGGTAATCTTGATGCATATTTATAGCCATTGGTGCGCTGCTCTTAATTGCTATTTAGGTTTCAAATGATTAATTTTTGTATATGCCACATAGATAAGAAAAATGTTGGAGTTTGAGCCACTATTTTTAGTTTTGCCATATTTCAATTAGTTTTGCTGCTAGAATATTTTTACTCCATAGCAGAGGACTGTCTTGATTTACCCCTTTGATGCCGTTCATTCTACCAATGATTACCACAACCTGAGAAACATTGCTTGATCATCACTGCAAACCAAAAGATCATCACTTCAGACCAAATCCCTATTCATGTTATTCAAGCACTTTATGTAATGACATTTGAGAGTCAACTGTCCAAATGTCTCGTATGTAAATCATTGCATACCTTCTGGTGGAACAAATGCATCGTCTACTTTTATTAGTACAAAGGCAACAATCTCCATCAAAGTAGATGATGGCAGAAATTTTATTGTCATTTTACACATATCTACTGTCGTTGTTGTTGCCTTCTGATCAACCAGAAGTGGACAACAGGATTGTCTTGACTAAAGGTGGCATGTGGTAACAGCACCTGTAGCTTATGTACACAACTTGGCAGCCATACGGTATTACTTAAACTATGGTAATTCATTCATTCAGTGATTGACAATTATTTAAGCTTCTATCTTGCCTTATAGACTATGAAGGGAAATCAAATTTTATCAGAATAAATGCCCCTTAAAATATTGATTTTATTATGGCATTAGGAATTCAAAGTGGTTTAAAGTTGCACTTGTATGCCACTAAAGATTAAATTTATGTTATATATATTGACCAATGTCAATGAGTTGCATCCAAATTAAACTAAATTTTACCAATTTACAATTCATGTTTTGTTACTACAGTATCAGTAGGATTGGTTGCTTCTGTGTAATTTAGACCTCTGATTTTGACACTCTACAGTATAGTGGCAAAGCAGAGACTTTTTAGACTCTTCCTTTACTAATCCCATGAGTAGACTAGTAAAGTATCATGAATACCAGCAGCTTCATCATACCTTGATTGAAAAAAATTTTCATCCACCTTTAATGCTGATATACCGTAAAATGGAGTAAATTAGACTACTTTTTATTTTAAATAATGCCATTGTTTTACCAGCTAAATTGAACTTAAATTGAAACATGCAAAATACATGTCTATACTCTAGGTTTACTCACCATAAATTGCTGGCTCCTGCCTCTCATAGTTTTGATGTAATTTCAAAAAAAGTGATGGTCTTTGTTACCCCAGCTCTTGGGGTATCTTAGACTGGGTGGTAAAATCAATTATATTTTTTCGTAAAATAACTCCAGGTTTTGGTGCATTGTAGTAGAACTCTTCTAGTTACATATGCAAATGACTTATTTGAGGAAAGTGTCATAGTTTGCAAATGGGGGGCGCCACCCCCGAATGGGGGAACTTAGACCACCTAATGTCAGCCATGAGAGGGTAACATCGACCAGCTTGGAAATGAAGGTAAAATTACCGTATATAAGACTCTGTAGAGTCTGAAACATAAAGAAAAAACATTAATATGTGTATCAAACATAAAATATGTTATATATGGTAATTTTTAATTAATTTCCAAGCCAGTCTATGTTACCCCATCAGGGCTGACATTAGGTGGTCTAAGCTCCCCCATTGGGGGGTGGCGCTCCCCATATGCAAATTATGACGCTTTCCTAAAATTTGTCATTTGCATATGTAAGTAGAAGAGTTCTACTACAATGCATCAAAACCTGGAGTTATTTTACCAAAAAAAAAAAAAATCGAAAAATCGGAGGGGGTACTCTGACAGGCTTCAAATAATAGCTCTTTTTCGTGGGTTACATTTTTAATTTTTTAACCTATTAAATATGCAAACTTTTCAAATCTTCCTATTGTGTTACGTAGCCTCAGTATTAGGCCTTTGATGCCTATTGACAAAATTTTTCTATGTCAAATAGTTTTTGAGTGTTGGGGGTTTTTGCTGAAAAAATGAAAAGTGGTCTAAGTTACCCTGGGAGTCTAAGTTATCCCATTTTATGGTAACGTCACCACTGCACTTGAGTTGCTGCCCTTCAATAGAAATGTTTTAGGTATTTTATAAACAAAACTGAAACATGTGTTTCTAGCATGATCAAAACAGCTTTGAAAGCATATTGTGTGGTTGGTTATTGAGTGGTGACTTATGTTGCATTGATAGTAGGTAGATTAGGAATCAAGAATGAACTGGTTTCTAAAAAATATCTTGTTTGCCACAATGCTTTGCAGTATATTTGTCATAATATATCCCCAAAAATACCAGATTTTATTTATGGTTAGAAATATTAATTTTATTTTTTTATCACAGATGGAAGGAAGCATCACCTGGTGTATGGCGAGGCATGATAAGAGATGATGTATGGAGTTTTTCGCAAGACAACACTACACTCTACTGTGTGCTGCACAATCTCCGAGATGATGCTCAAATACCTCCAAATGTTGATTCAAGAAATGACTATTTTGGAGCTGTTGGTGAAAATGCTGTTGAGAGAGAAAAATTAAATGACAATAAAAAAGTTAAACGTTTCAAGGCAAGTCATCTAAGCATCCAAAAATCATGTACTAATTTCACTGATTCCTATGTGGATGTGAAGATTGAATGTGATGCCATTAAATCTGTTGAAATTAAGCCAAATGACATAACAGCTGAAAACAGTCACAGTGAAGATAACACAATAGTTGCATCAGTTTTAAACAAAAACAGAAAGAATAATTCTGCAAGCAATGTAAGAAAAAAGTGTGTGAGAAGCTCTTTGGAGCAAAAAATTGATGTAAAGAACTTCAACACTGATCAGAAGCCGAACCCTGTCATGTGTAAACTTTTGAAAGCTGAATGCTGTACTAACATTGCAAGCAACACTCCAGCTACAACAGTTTCTCATTACTTGAAAGTCATTCAGAACTATTTTCGTTTAGCAGTTGATCTGAATTTGGCTTACAAGGATTGGTGTTCTAAAGATGTACATTTCCAAGCTGCAGCTCAGAAATGCCCAGGTGTGCGGCTCCTTGACCAGCCACCAGTAGAGAATGTCTTTTCGTTTATCTGCTCCTCCAACAACAATATAAGCAGGTCAGTATCCAACTCATTTTCATTCTGGTAATTATTACCTAAAATAAGTGGTTGGTTGCTATATTAATTGGTGAATTTAACGTGAAACTACCTATTAAATGAACTGTTAAATTACCAAATTTTATGAATAATAGTTCATTGTAACAAGTATCTCAATGATTTATTCCATGATAAAAATAAAATTTGTAAAACCCTACTTTTTACTTCATTCATGATGAGCTCTTACTATCAGTGCAAAATGTTCAGGTTGGTGTGGAAGCTAATAATTCTATGTGTGAAAGAATTTTCCTCATTAACAGTTTACAACTGCAGGCTTTCTAGCAGTCAGTGGCTAGATGTGTGATATGCTGCAAGTGTTGATGTCCGTTATCAAGCAGAGAATTAAGTTTGGTATATTTATCTGGCTAAATAGAATATATAATAATTTATGTATTTTTTGTGAACCCATTTATCTTGTAATTTGTGGAACTAGTATAAATTGATTTTGTGGCTATCCATTCTTTTATACTTTGATCTAGAGTGTCTTAATTTATGATACTGCTGTGGTCATTCATACAGTATTTATTTCTGAATAAGATCAGTGCATTCATTTTGGAAAATATGCAATATACGTAATGATGACTTGGTGCCTCCAAGACTAATAATGCCTCATACATTTTTATGTTGGTTCAAAGAATACCTACCGACCGTAATGTCTCTTATTACCTGCAGGGTTGGCGATTTTTTTTTATTTAAAAAAAAAATAAAAAATCAATGATTTTTTAAATTTTTTCACGATTTTTTTGATTTTTTCAGCTTTTTTTGTCTTTTTGAGGTGTAATTTTTTATGTTGCAATAGCCTACTAACAATAATAGTATATGGATCATAATGGATGCTATAAAGGGCACTTATTGCCTTCAATAATGACCAACAGGCTAAGGTGGTGTTTCCCACTTAGGGATTTTTGGGTAAACAATTATTGATAAGTCTATTCATTAGCTTTGTAAAGTTTGTATGGAGCAAGGTAATGAGCTAAATATGGACCATTTAACTTGCTTCAATATACAAAAACACTTCAGGAATGCAGATCTCCTAAACATTGAAGAGTCACATAACAGATAGGTAGCTGATAGCACAGTGCACAGCACTATCAATAGATCTACTAGTTTTATGTCCTATAAATCTACCAGACTCTACCTTCTATACACACCGACTAGTAGTGACTGTAGCTGATAACACAGTGCACAGCACTATCAATAGATCTACTAGTTTTATGTCCTATAAATCTACCAGACTCTACCTTCTATACACACTGACTAGTAGTGACTGACTGCTCTGTTCCCATTTAATTCAGACCAATAAACCAATACTAAACATTAACTGAACGAAAACCAAACAAACCTCATACGACTTGAAATGAGACTTAAGTTATGAGAAAAGCTAACACTGTTTGAAATAAACATGTGCACAATTCAAATATTTTATATCCATTCACTGCATTTAATTATTTTATATATAGTTATGAGAAAAGCTAACACTGTTTGAAATAAACATGTGCACAATTCAAATATTTTATATCCATTCACTGCATTTAATTATTTTATATATAGTCTTATAATTGTAATTCTTTTGTTTATAGTTTTAAATTCACATATTTAAAGATTGAAATTAAATATTTTAATTAGAATACTCGTATTAAGGTGGAAAATCTTTCTAATTGCCTAAGTAAAAGGTCAATACAATCTCAACCTCTCAACATATAGGGTGTAGCAGAACCGATTGAGCAATTTTGAGGTAAAATAAAAGAGTAATGGAGGTACATAAAGAAGAAAGTTTATTTTCCTAGAGGTTAGCATAACATATCATTTAGAATACTTATGTTTTGAAAACAATATCTGGAAGATGGGGGCTGTTAGCTGCAACACACTGTTGGAGTCGTTCTCAGAGGAGGGAGTAACCATGACAGTAAATTCCGATTGCTATGCTGCAATGTTGCAAAATTTCTTGCAGCCCATGATGGAAAAAAATTGTTGAAAATGATGCATTGAGAGACCTGTGGTTCCAGCAGGATGGGGCTACAGCCCACATAGCCCAAATGTCACTCAATGTTTTGAAACTCATGTTTCCCGGACGTCTGGTGTCTCTGAGGGGTGATTTGCAGTGGCCTGCAAGGTCACCTGATTTGAGCATTTGTGATTTCTTTCTTTGGGGACATCTAAAAGAAAGGGTGTTCAGAAGTCGCCCTCACACCCTACCACAGCTAAAGGGATGGATTATTGCAGAGGTTATGGCCATGCCTCGCCATATGTGTGAACGTGCTGTAGAAAAATTCCGAGAACGACTCCAACAGTGTGATGCAGCTAACAAACCCCATCTTCCTGATATTGTTTTCAAAACATAAGTATTTTAAATGGTACCTATGTTATGCTAATCTTAAGGAAAATAAACTTTCTTCTTTATGTACCTCCATTACAATTATTTCGCCTCAAAACTGTTCAGTCAGTTCTGCCCCACTCTGTATAAGCTAGCTAACACATTTAAATTGTATATTCTAATCAATATATAACTAATAGTTAGACTACTTATAGCCTTATAAGAATTGGCTAAGCTGCTAGCTACGTACAATGTATTGCACACTTGATGCCTCTGTACCAAAAACATTCAATTTATTGAAACCTAATACACACTAAAGGCAACAAGTTGCATAAAACATTTTACGGAATAGAAGTCCTAGATAAATAAAACAGAACGTTTCGGGCTATGCCCATCATCAGCTAGTAAAATACATCTGGAAATACATGGAAATCAATTTTAGTAAATAAATTTAGGAAATGATAAGGAAAGAAAGGAAAAAACAACTATTGACCTAGAATCGAAAGAGGAAAAGAGCTGGATTGGTTATTCAATTTAGGTTTAAGTTTATGGATGTAAAGAGACTCTAAAATTCGTAAATCGGTTTGGCTGCTAGCGTTACAAAGATGATGCTAGCTGATGGGCAAATTAGCTGATGATGGGCATAGCCCGAAACGTTCTGTTTTATTTATCTAGGACCTCTATTCAGTAAAATGTTTTATGCAACTTTTTTGGTTTTAGCCTTTATTCTTAAACTGAGAAAGGCAACAAGTTTATATACCAATTTGTCATTCATAGTACATTTATACTAAACCATGAATAACAATACCTCAATATAAATTAAAGACTGCCACTCAATATTTTTAAATATATGAAAAAATAAAAAAAAAATTGGAAAAATAAAAAAAATCATGATTTTTTTATAAAAAAATCAAGTGATTTAATCACATGATTTAATCATTTTGATTTAATCATTGCCAACCCTGCTTACCTGCAACAATATTATCTAACCTTATAAATTTTGATTATTAAATACACATCAACATGAAGTTACTATCTAGATCATTTTATAGCTGTTAATTTGATTGTGAAGTAAATGCATGGAAAATTATTGCCTATATAGGTACGTATATATAGTTGTATGAATTAATAAGACTCTTGGCAATTTGGCATTCTTAGAATAACATTCATGGAATTGTGAAGTAGGTAATGGAGTATTTTGTGAATGTTGTATCAAATTTTGTGAATGTTGTATCAAATTTTGTGAATGTTGTATCAATTTTTTTCTGTTCAATTCTTGGACAATGGACACGAAGGTGGCGTGACTGAGGTGCCTTTCATATTAGGTTAGGTATATTTATGGCAAGATTACGTATGTAGTCAGCCAAGATAAATATTGATCAAATATCAGAAAAGCTTTTTGGATGATCTATAATGCATGAAATTCTTCTAAGACAGACAACATATGGATACATATCTTATCACAGCTTGCTCCACGCCACAATTGAGCTGCTTAACAATTACAGGGAATGGGAGGTTAGAAAGTCTCCAGTGACTATTTGAAAGCTAATAAAATGCATCCAAAAGTTAAAGCTGACTTTTTCGAACATCAGATAAACTGTAGAATGATGCGGAGAAAGCTTGCCTGAGAAATTTTATATTGCTGACGCATCATGAGTCTTCAAAGCGCAAGACAGTCAATGTGAGTGGAGAATGAGAGCTTAGAGGTTCTGACTTGGGAACTCCAGGAGAGAAACTGTTCTAGAAGCTTGGTTCTTGACAAATTTCTTATTTGCAGCGCATGAAAATTGTATGGCATACAAATTCAAGGATGTCGTGAAAGAAGTGGAAGAATAATTGCATTTTAGGATAATTTATTCTATGCAATTATTCCTTGGACTGTCTTTCTGTTAATAAATTATTTTTGTTCATTCACAATTCACATTATCATTAATTCCTATGCAATTTTGATGAACTGTAAGTTATAAATTTGTCAAAAGACTTGCTTATGCTATAATTCAAATGGCTTTTTCACTAAAACTGTCCAAGTTTAGAAATTAGATTACATTCTTCAGAAAGTTATTCATGACTCAGTGCAATACAGTATAGTATTCATGACTCAGAACAATACCGTATGACTCAGAACAATACAAAAATGGATAAGAAATTGTTTTAAATTAGTTCAGGATTAACCAGTAAGACAAATGCAAGGAATGAGGCAGGAAGAACTCTTATATGCATTGCATTTGCTGCAAGGTTCTATTGCAGCAAATGCACTCGTCAGTTAGTGTCATTGATCTCTCTTATTTTTTTTTCGTGAATATGGTGAATTGTTTTTAAGATTTTCAGTAATTTTTCATGATACTGCTATAGTGGTACTTGTTCATTCAGAAAAATACTTATTCACAACTTCTACATTGTTAAACCATTCACAGTAACAAACGTACTCAGATCTTTGCCAGCAATACTGGTATCCATAAATAGTATATATTCATGTGTCACAAGTACATGAGTATACCACACCTATTCATAAGATAATATATTTGGTTGAGATCTCTTCTCTTACAATGATTGTAATTAATGGGATGTTCGAGTAATGTTATGTGATGTGTTGTTTCTAAGAGTAACAAGAAGTCATTGTGAAAGATTGATGCTTGATCCATATAATAGGTAATGTGTATCATTGTTTTTATTATGTTACAGGATCAGTGGATTAGTGGAAAAGCTTTGTGTGGAGTTCGGCAGCCTGCAGTGCGAGGTGGACGGTCAGCAGTGGTTCAGTTTCCCTTCTATTGAAGCGCTTGCTGCTGAAGGTGTTGAGCAGGTCTTGAGAAAATTAGCATTTGGTTACAGGTAAGAAATAGCTTTGGAATGTAACACTCTTGTGTAGGATTGGTTTACGCCTCTGCCAACATTATGTCAACATAATTTGTTGCTTTCAATACTAAGTATTTTTTCAAGTGTGCCCATGCACTTTTTAACACTAAAACATGCACCTATATATGTATGTCATTACTCTCATCTTACTTACTCTATGTTTGATAGTTTGTGTGCTGGTCTGATGGTGCCGTACGATTGTGCTGGGCAGAGCAGCTTATATACACAAGTCAGCGCGTGTGTTGTTGTCTTGTGTTTGTGTGCTGGTCTGATGGTGCCGTACGATTGTGCTGAGCAGAGCAGCTTATATACACAAGTCAGCGCGTGTGTTGTTGTCTTGTGTTTGTGTGCTGGTCTGATGGTGCCCTACGATTGTGCTGAGCAGAGCAGCTTATATACACAAGTCAGCGCGTGTGTTGTTGTCTTGTGTTTGTGTGCTGGTCTGATGGTGCCGTACGATTGTGCTGAGCAGAGCAGCTTATATACACTAGTCAGTGCGTGTGTTGTTGTCTTGTGTTTGTGTGCTGGTCTGATGGTGCCGTACAATTGTGCTGGGCAGAGCAGCTTATATACACAAGTCAGCGCGAGTGTTGCTGTCGACCGGCGGTGAGGCTTGGCTGGCGGCTCTCAGGGACGCTCCTCTTAGTCACTGCCGAGCGCAGCTCCAGACGCTGCCTGGCGTTGGGCCCAAGGTCAATACTAGCTGAATTTTTTGTTCATGTAAATATGTTACAAATTTGTTGTTACCATGTTACTGATAATCTCACTGATATGCCCTTTCAGGGAAAACATGAGTCGTGTGACTGTGCTCCTCAGAAGTCCTATGGGATTTAGCGTTCAAGGGCATTGTTCCTGAGCGCCCCACCGCTGAGCTCGCGGTGTCTGGCTGCAGGTCTCGGTTGTGGAATTAAGTTATTATTATGTCGGTAGGAATCCTTACATTTCCCTTCTCTGTCTTTCTCGTACGGGCGGCCGACGTCCCGTGTAAGCGACTCCTTGTACGAGTGTCTAAAGGCCGGTCCACACGCTCAGTTTTACACAACGATTTGTCTTTGCAGCTCTAATCGTTTCAGATAAAACGTTGCGTGTGGACGGGAAAACTGCGCAGTTTTGAAGCCGGCGGTAAAACTGCACAGTTGCAGCGATATCTGAGCTACAGAGCATAGATTTCGATGAACTGCGCTGATAAGTCGGAACGTGTGGACGGTAGCACCGTTTTCCGATTCAATTTGTGCTCAGTTTCAATGATTCTGGCGACAATGGCATAACTTCGGTAATGTTCTCGGGAATTTATTGCTCTATACGAATGTTTTCCTTGCATTTAGCGAGTAAAATCCAAGGACTATAGTAACAGGGAAAAAAGATGGAGACATACGAGAGCTTAGTAGAACAATTCTAAGAAATCGATGAAAGCGCAAACAGAGAAACAGCTGTAAAAAATAAATAATTTGAGGGGTTTTTAACGTAAATAATTGGGAAAAAATTAATAAATCGATGCCATCTGGAGCTGGAGGAGATGACATCTCCAAGCCATCTCTCTGGTATTTTGATTCCTCGCATTTCCTAAATGATCCAATCTAATTTTTAACAATGCGCAATGCCAAAATTGACCAGAGTACTGCCTCTTCCACGGTGAGGTCGCGCAAAACTGAGCAAACTACACAGATGAGTCGGCACCGTGAGAACGCGCTAAAAATTGCAACGATTTCATTCCGACTGGAGACTGCGCAGACAAATAGTTGTGGAAAACTGAGCGTGTGGATCGGCCTTTAGTTTCTGTTGCTTTTCACCTGTCCCTCATTTTGTCACTTCGCCTCTATGAGATGCTAACGCTGCTTCTTTTGAGCCAGCTTCAGCAGGCCGGCCATTTGAGACAACCCGCTCCTTGTGGGGTGATGAAACATTCTAGGAATTTTCAATAATTGAGACTTGTCGCCTTGCTGGCAGTGTTAATTTTTGACCTCCGGTTCGAAATAGCTTGATTGTTGGAGCACCACCAAACCAACCTACTACTACTACCTCTATTACTCACGGGAACGTAGTAGTAACTCATCCATACACAAACCATCTGCTGACTCGGCACACTGAATTTCATGTTCAGGTTTCGTTCTTCCAAGTGATGGTAATATTTTAACTTATATTCAACTCCCTCTCAAGCTGTTTTACTTTACACGAACCACAGGTTTTTCGAGTTCAAATATTATGCGCAGCTTTTGGTAATATTTTCACTTTTCTTTATTCATCGTTATTTTTCATTTTAACACATTCGACAAATAACAATGAAAAACAGCAAATAATAATTTTTTTCAAATATTACAAAAATTTTTTATTGCACCCGTTTCGATTGTGCTGGGAGTAAATGTTTTCTTCTGAGGAACCGACAGTTAAGAGTGTTGGTGCCTTCTCAGCGGTTTACATTTCGCACGATTTTTAGGAGCTGTGTAATATGTGTACAGGTGGCGGATTGCATCAGCCTGATGTCTCTGAACAAGCTGGACAGCATCCCCGTGGACACGCACGTGTTCCAGATAGCAGCGCGCCTCTACCTGCCTGCCTTGCGCTCCACCAAGAGCGTCACCGAGCGCGTGTACCGCACCGTGGCCGCACACTTCCAGACCCTCTACGGCCCCCACGCTGGCTGGGCTCATTCCGTGAGTGTCGTGCTCACTGTCTGCACACTAACTTTATGAGACTATTTAACTTTATTGCCAGCTTCCTGAATTTTGCTTAATAACGATAATTGCTGGTTCATTTAGTGCTTCAGGATTGGGCCAATTCAACTTTAGTAGATTAAATAATTTACCAAAATTTCGATATGAAAATCTTAGAAAACTAATATGAAGAATTATGAGAGAACTATAAATTGCTCGCCGTAATGTACGAGAATTATGATGCGAGAATCGGGGAATAGCGCCCATCTTTTTGCCGTCCAACTACAACAATTGTTAAGAATTTATTGAACGGCATTCTGTATTTGATTCTGAAACCCTATACATTTTTAGGTACTCTTCAGTGCTGACTTGAAGAAGTTTGCATCCTAGCGCAGCAGAAACGCAACATGACCCGGAAATTGGATTTGATCCTCATTGCTAGCCGCAATGGTAAATTGAGACACTGAAAAGGAGAGTAGAAATTCACAATAATAATGTATTAGTTGATTCAGTTTATTAGCAAATTCCATATTTTAGTCGAGGTCAAATGTGTGCCGTGAAAAGTACCTTGAAACCTTCTCGCAGAAGTGATTGATCTTGAGCTTAGGAATTTGTTCTTAAAGATTGATTGCATGATTACATCATCGACATTATTTGTGCCGCTAATTGAAGAGTGCTATGCAGGACTTGCAGTGATTTTGCGAACAACGTAAGGACTTAACACTACTAGATTTTTTTTACTGTAAGAAGTAGTCGATACCATAGGATTTAGCAAGGAAATAAATACTTGGTGCAGGTGATGGAGATGATATATAATCATTGTATACTTCTATTAAATATGTTTTGCAGACAATTCTTTTCTTATACCGCAAAGCAGGCCACTCCTGCTCTCGGATACAAGCACAGCGCGTGAAGCTTTAACTCAGAAGGATGGGTTTAGTTATATATATATATATATTGCAAAGCAAGCCCCTTAACTATGGTAGCGAAGGAAACATCATAAACGTTAATTTAGTGCAGTTTGCGGTAAATAATAGACGAGTTTACACTTGTCCAATTGATAGCGCGGACAAATTGAGAAATATAAATTGGCATAGTTCATGGCGCACAAGATGCCCGCGCGCTTGCAGAAAGCGGCTACATCCTCCTGGCCACACGCAAGCTCAAGAAATGACAACCTTCAACGAGCGAGTACGGTAACTTAGTTGCAGAGGATGAAGCGTCACCGTCTCATGGAATCACAGGTGTGCAGAAGAAGATCGAATAGAATGTCTTCAGTCTGTAAAACTGGCTTTGCATTGCTGTACAGACGCCTCTCGCAATACTCAGTCTCAAGGTAAAAAATATCTAACAAGTGTGCAAATAATGCTGTCAGAACAGTTCACCGATTTACTTGGTCAACCAGGTTGGTTTTAAGAATACTTCAATTTCCTAGCGGTAGTAATTGCACTTATTTAATTTCGTTTACTTTTATTGATGCTACTGATCCACAGGATGTAAGTAGGTTTAATGCGAGACGATGACACTTCTTCGCGGTTGTTCTCTGATCGCTGCTTGTGCTGGTCTCTTATCGCAAGCTTTAACCGAGTTCCTGTAGAACAAGAAGGCTCGAAAGCCTCTATGCTTTTATACCTCCCACTTCACAGTAAGAAACATGGGCTGGATGCTTTTAATTCTAGAGCATCACAGAACCCAACCTTACATCAAATATCATTGATATAAACATGGTTCATAAACTTAATGTGAGGGCCATAACAATCGTTGAATATATTCCAAAGAATTTCGAGAGAAGTAAATCACCAGGTGAGACCGGCCAGGATTCAGTCGGGCCAGTCTTAAATTCCACGGGCTAATGCCATCATGCTAGGTAATTACTTCACTGTTCACTCGATGCTGCGTTCTGCACTTGTTCAAGATTCCGTCCAAACACTGTATGTTAGAAGTTTCTTGAACGCGTTGCAAAGCTAGGCAGTAGACTCAGAGGCACTTGCACTGACAGCGCCAAGCTTGATTATGACGGGCACGTTGAGGGTGACGGTGCGAGACTCGACGCTGGGCGTCAAGGAACTGGGACCAGAAGGCGGGCCCGAGCCCAGGGATGAGAGGTCTGCTGAAGGACCCAGTGATACGGGCCCCACTGACGACAGTCCTGAAACGGGAAAACATCAAGTATGAGAGTTATAGCCACAAATATTACCATCGATACACAGCTAGTCATTCCTCACTAGCATGCGCGACAAACATCTGCGCTTGGCTCACAAACTTAACAAAAATTAATTCATGAAGTGAGGTGAAACCGTTCATGGAATCAAATAATATGCGTTTAAAAATTAATTTTTCAAAGACAACACTTCTGAAAAAATACAGTGTAACCGATATTACACATCGGATACACTGTAGCACTTATACATGAATTAAAAAATTAATGAATTTCTAATTTCATTTACATGTATTAAAAAAATTAATCTTTATTTTTTTTAATATATGAAAAAATTACATTTTCAAAATTATTTATTGTGTCAGTTGATTCATGAATTGTCTCCGACTTTACACAAGTTTGCAAAATTTCAGATAGTGTGTTAAATATTGATTACCTATAAGATTTGTAGCAAACAAATATATTTTTTCAATTTATTCAGTATTGAAAAAAAAATTATTTAACTTTTACAATTATTTATTTTGTCAATTGATTCATGCATTCTCCAAATTTACGCAAGTTTGCAAAATTTCGGATCGATTGGAGAGGTAGAAGTGTGTTGAATATCGATTATAAGATTTGTAGCAGACAGACAAACAAACAAGAAGTGAAGTTAAAGAGAAGTGTTGTAGAAAGTAGCGTAAGCGCATAAAATTTTCCAATTCTTGGTGTGTATATAAGTTTTGTAGCACTTAAACAGAAGTATTCCATTTCGTGCATGCGGTAATTTGCCAAATATATGCCAACATGGAGGTGCTCAATGGGTGGTGATCGAACTGTAATTTGAACGCATTCTATGGTCTCTTTTCCAATGCAAAAATAATGTTAAATTCTCTCGTGCTGTTTAATGTATTTGTAACCTCCGGGGTCTCCTATTCTTTGGATCTCACGGTGGCTTGGGCAGCCTGCAATAACGAGCTATATGTACTGTACATCCCAAAGGCCCATGCAGTGGTCACAGCGTGGCATGGAACGTAGCCTCGTTGGGTGGGTGGCTGAGACTTGTGTAGTCAGAACTCCTGTCTGCAAGCCCCCTTCACTGCTAAATGCTAAATGATATAAGATGCAGTCACCGGAGCTTGCAGATATCATGTTGTTGGTGTAGTCGTAGCGCAGCAAGAAGCCGATGTAGAGAGCATCTGTGACAGCTTCAGGCGTCACACACACCGTCACTCCCACCTTGTTGGCGCGGCGCCAAGTCACCACCCTGCATTAAAATATACTGTTACATTGTGCTCAATATAATGAATATCATCTCACAATGTGTACTCGTATACAGATGAGTGAGGAATATTACTTAGATTGTACTATTAGCTTGTGCTCAATAAAATAAATATTATCTCACAAAGTGTATTCCTATAAACTATACAGATATGCGGTAACAATATTACTGTGAATGTACTATACATTGTGCTCAATAAAATATCATCTCACAAAGTATACTCGTATACAGATATGCGGTAACAACATTACTATGAATATACTATTAGATTGTGCTCAATAAAATATTATCTCACAAAGTATACTCGTTAACAATTTAACAAATATGCGGTAACAATATCACGTGTATATCTTACATGGAAGGAAGCTCATCACTTACTGAGGGTCGTCTTTGAAGGAATTGTGTGCGTCAGCGTCGCCGTACTCGGCGGTGTCGTCACGGGGCGCGAGCAGCAGCTGTCCCTGTGGCAGCGTGACGCTGGTGCACAGCTCCGGCAGGCAACTCTCGGTGGGCACCTCAATGAAGCGCGGCCCAGGGGATGATGCTGTCACTCCTGTACACACAAGTCGTTAGAAACCTAAATGTTTCAGTTCATTCATACTCGTATGTTCTCATTTTTTCATTTTGTTAGAAGGGAGGTTGAGAATAGAATTAGTTGTGAATCTATACCATTAGGTTTGTAGTTTGATAATATAATTGACAAAGCTTTAAATAAAATGACAACGTATCAAAGTGTAGATGCGGTCAGTATACCTATATCAAGAATCCAAACTACTTTTTACGCTAGGAAAATAACATTACTCGAGGTTACTTCCTCATATGAACGATAAGCGAAGTTCTTCACCAGCATCGATGTGTGCGGTGGTGAGGTGTGGCAGGAAGGGGAGGAGGGCAAGGGGCATGAGGTGGGGCGTGGGGTTGCAGAGCGAGAGCTCGACACGCGCCTCCTGCCCCACACTAAGGGGCACGGGGCGCACCAGCCGCACGTCAGGCACGTGGTAGCTGCCATAGACACAGGGCATTGGTGAGTGCATGTCGTACTGGCCAGCGAGTGCAAGTCGTTGTCTCACTTCCACTCTTGCTATGAAGCCATTGCATGAAAATTACATTTACGGCGGTGAATGCTCACGTAGACAAATGGTTAAAATGACAGCTTATCCCTTGCTAAATGTATGTTTAACAGCTGCTGTAGTGTTGGATCACAGAACACAACTCACTAGACACCGAGTTGTACAGTAGAATACAACGCACTAGGCACCGAGTTGTACTGTAGAATACGACTAAGCAGGCACTGAGTTATACAGTAGAACACAACTCACTAGGCACCGAGTTATCACGTGCAATACAACTCACTAGGCACCGAGTTATAACGTGCAATACAACTCACTAGACACCGAGTTATAACGTGCGATACAACTCACTAGGCACCGAGTTATAACGTGCGATACAACTCACTAGGCACCGAGTTATCACGTGCAATACAACTCACTAGGCACTAAGTTGTACCATAGAATACAACTCACTAGGCATTGAGTTATAACGTGCAATACAACTCACTAGGCACCGAGTTATCACGTGCAATATAACTCACTAGGCACTGAGTTGTACCATAGAATACAACTCACTAGGTACCGAGTTATAACGTGCAATACAACTCACTAGGCACCGAGTTATCACGTGCAATACAACTCACTAGGCACTGAATTGTACCATAGAATACAACTCACTAGGCACCGAGTTATCACGTGCAACCGAGTTATCAGCCCCCGATCTCTGCCGCGTCTACGTCGTGGGGGTACCCTGACCTGCGCGTCGGCCGGATGCCCGGCATACTCGCGGGCCAGGCCAAATGGCAGAGGCCCCCCCCGCCTGGATCGCTACCGGACGGAGGCTCCTTTCTTCATTTTTTCGACCAAGAGTCGGGGAACCTCGGCCTCCTCTTCCCCCTACCCACTTCTTTGGCCGCCTATCTTTCCTGAGGCACACTATGCCCTTCTATCCTCTCACCTTTTCTTCCTATTCGCCCTTCTCCTCCCGACCCAGGGTATCCATCCCAACCCTGGCCTGGACCCCTGCTCAGTCTGCTCCCTCCCGGTTACAAAGCGATGTTACTCGTTCCTGTGCTCCACGTGCAACGCCTGGTGCCACAAGCGGTGCTCCGGCCTTCGCTCCATTCACCTCTACTCCGCAGACTGGACCTGCCCTACGTGCAGACGGTCTGACCCCATCCCAGCCAGACCCCATCCCAGCCCCTACACCGGACGAGACATCTCTCCCCTCCTACGCGGCGACACCACCATGGAGGCTATGGCAATCTCCACTCCTCTTAACGGCTCACCTCTCTGAATCATCAATGTATACATCCCACCGGCCTCCTCCTGCCCCCCGGGATACTCCCCGGAGCTCGCGGACATTATCTCCATCCCGGGAGACTGCCTGATAGTGGGTGATTTTAACGCCCATCATCCCTCCTGGTTCTCCCACACGGAAGACCAGAGAGCCGCAGCGCGAGGAACCGCAGTCGACGACCTCGTCGCTGGTTCCTACCTCAATGAGGACTCCCATACCCGCCTCCCCTCCCATGGCCCGCCCTCCTCTCCGGACCTCGCCATCCACAGCGGTCACCTACTCCTCAGCACCTCCTGGGCTCCTCAAGTCGCCCTCAACTCGGACCACCTGCCCATCCTGATCCATCTCCCTTCCTCTGCTGACTCCCCAACCCCCCGGGCCGCCCGCTCCTATGTCGACTTCAAAAAAGCTGACATCCCCTCGACAGGGATTTCTCCCCTTTTACCCCAGACATGGTGAAGCTTGCCATCGCAGCCGCCAACAACTCTTCCGCAAAGGGTCCTGATGGCCTCACGGTTCTTCATCTAAAGCACCTCGGCCAGTTTCTCACCCATATTTTCAACATCTCCGTCTTCACAGCCTCAATTCCATCCATTTGGAAAAATTCTATAATTATTCCAATTCTCAAACCGGGCAAACCCGGAAACCAGGGCTCCTCATACCGCCCTATCTCCCTCCTCTGCCCGGCTGCCAAGATTCTTGAGCGCCTGGTTCTCCTATACATCTTATGATCTCTCACCACCGTCCCCTCGCAACATGGTTTCAAGCCGGGACATTCCACTGTCACCGCCCTCCTACCGCTCGCGCACCAGATCGCGACGGGTTCTAACTCTCAGCGCCCTCCAGCCCGCACAATCGCCGCGGCAGTCGACCTCTCGAAGGCCTTCGACAGCGTCGACCACCCTCTCCTTCTGAGCATGATCGCGGCCTCGGACCTACATCATAACCTGGTCCGTTGGCTGTGCTCCTACCTTAGAGGCAGGCTGGCGTCCTGCCTCTACCTCAGAACGCAGTCGCCTTTCAGGGCTGTTCACTTCGGAGTGCCCCAGGGCTCGGTCATCTCGCCGGCCCTCTTTAACCACTTTATCTCCGATATCCCACTTCCGACCCCCAACATTGCCTCATATGCGGACGATCTGACCATCTTCGTGTCGTCCCCGAGGCTCGACGCTGCTGAGGCTGAGCTTGCTGTGCTCCTTCGGAACGTCTCGAATTGGTCGGCGGCCAAGAAACTGGGCGTGGCTCCTGGTAAATCCTCAGTCACGCTCTTCACACCAGACACCCACCAATCTCGATCCCACCCTGCAGCCACTTTCTGCAACGGCGTCATCCCCCTGGATAAAACCCCTAAAATCCTGGGCGTCACCTGGGATACGCACTTCACATTCTCCCCTCATGCAAGAGCCATCGCCACGAAAGCGACGGGTTCTCTTCGCATCCTAAAAGCCCTAGCTGATACCAACTGAGGCTTCTCCAAGGAGGACATTATTGCCACCTACCGAGCCATCACGCGCCCAATCCTCAACTACGTGGCCCCATCTGGTATCCTGTTGCCAAACTCACAGCAGTTGCCAGCCTGCAGATAATTCAAAACACTGCATTGAGACGAGCAACCAGCTGCCTCAAAATGGCCCCGATCTCCCACCTTCACCAGGAGACTGGCGTCCTCCCATTAGCCGCGCATCTGGACCTGGCTTGTGCCCAGTTCCTCGCCAGCGCCCTCCAGCCCTCCCATACCTCATTCCGTATCGTTTCTGCCCCCCCGGTTGACCGCCCCATGAAAGCCTCAATCCAGTCGAGGTTCGGTCACTTGGTCACACCTTTCTTGCATAATGGCTTGATGCCTGCGGGTTCCTACGGAGAGGCCAAGCGGGCCCTCCGCAGGGAGATCGCCTCCCGCGTTGCGGCGACTGACGCCATAAACGCCGTACTTGCAGCCCCGCCACCGCCGATTGCATCAGTGGAGGCCTCACTCCCCCGCCCCCACCGCTCAGCGTTATTCCAGCTCCGCTCGGGATACTGCAGCTCCCTGGCGTTCTATTCCGCCTGGATCAGACGCTCCCCTAGCTCCGCTTGCCCAGAGTGCGGGGATCTTCTCCAGTCGGTCCAGCACCTCTTCGTCTGCCCCGCCTTCCCCACGTCTCTAAGCGTCTCCTCAATATGGGACAACCCCGTGGAGGCAGGGGCTTTCCTGGCCACCCTACCTGCCTTCGCCCATCTCCCCCCTCTTCCGGTGCCGGCCCCCCGACCACCACCAGAGACTCCCCCCCGGCGAGCGTGATGGTCGCAACAAACAACAACAACATCACGTGCAATACAACTCATTAGGCACTGAGTTGTACCATAGAATACAACTCACTGGGCACCGAATTATAACGTAGAATACAACTCACTAGGCCCCGAGTTGGATCTTGAACTTGATGGAGGAAGGGTTGTACTCTGGTTTGCTAAGGTTGTGCTCGCAGTGACGGCATCTGAGGCTGCGCTTGACAAGCATGTGCTTGTGCAGCGGGTAGAGGGAGGAGCTCTGACTGGGCTGTTGTTCTGGCGACCGCAGGCGTTGCTCCACACTGCATACTGTCAACATGGATCAGAATTAGGCACTGACACTTGAAGTAGTCTTAACTTTTATATGAGGTTAGGCACTGACACTTGAAGTAGTCTTAACTTTTATATGAGGTAAGGGACTGACGCTTGAAGTAGTCTTAACTTTTATACGAGGTAAGGGACTGACGCTTGAACAGAGCTGGGCAGCGCTACTTTGAAATGTAACGCCGCTATCGCTACTGCTACTGAAAATGTAGCGGCCGCTAGTAGCGGCCGCTACATGTAGCGCGCTACTGACCACCTCTGCGCTTGAAGTAGTCTTAACTTTTATATGAGGTAAGGGACTGACGCTTGAAGTAGTCTTAACTTTTATATGAGGTAAGGGACTGACGCTTGAAGTAGTTTCAACTTTTATTTTAGGGATTATATTATAGTCTGTCCGAATCATTTTCAAGACATACTAGAAATGTCTGGCCAACAAATGGTTCATGTTCTGAATACATTATTGTATTGTCCTGCGTCTCAGTACTTTTCAAATAATGAGATCAGAAAATCTACCTTAGGGATATAATTCAAACGTAATATTTGTTTAAATATGAGACGCCGAGTTATCATCGTCAACATCAATCAAAAATCATTCAACTTCTAGTTGAATGATTTTAATTCCAACAAAAGAGGAATTAGTGAAGCTAACAGCCACTCCGGCACCGCATAAGTGTCGTTATTTTATTCCATAGAATAAGTGGCAAACCCTCGTCTTAACTTGGATATTATGAGTTCACCGTCCAGTTCATTACCCTTGTCCAGTCAGTGTTCAAGCGGCAACACACCTTTTGTTAACAACGAATATGAACATATACGGTATTGCTTCTCAATGTGATCCAATTAATACAGCAGCTACTGTTGAACAAACGGAGAAGTAGCTAAAACACTTTATTGAAGTGAAAATCCATTTGATTTCTTGCCAATCCACTTCAAAGATATTAACCATTGCCGAAAAAATTTAAAATGAGTAATGTAGCGCACAAACTTGGGCACGGCAAGCGTCTCGTCCCTCTCTAATCATGCACTGCTCTTGATAAAGGCATTCAATTGATTACACATGAAATGTTGAAACGCCCGGACTCGTTCGTCTTACGATGCGGCATAATAAAAAGAGGAAAAATCAAATTTCCTAACATGATTTGTCTTTAATCGTTCCTTTTAGCAGAGATGCAAGACTAGCTGCTGGAGAGAATTGTCTCTCAACACAATAGTACAGGATGATAAGATAGCGGACATATTAGGCACGTAATAAAAATTGATATCAAAGAAAGGCAAGACCAGAAAAGAAAATCGCAGCCAACCTTGTGCGAGGACGACAGGCTCGGTGAAGATGTCGTCCGGCAAGCCCTCGACCTCCTCACTCGCCTCCGCGGGCGTCAGTTGAGAGGTCAGCGGCGTGTCGCCCTTAACGCAAGAAAATGCTTTATTAGTGCAACTGATTACGTTTATTATTTTAGTTGCATAAAACTATCAGACATACGAGCGGTGCTGTTAGTGAAGGGCCTGGACGTAAACTTGAAGAGACAAGTCATGGACATATTAACATCTTTCATTTTCAAAGTGACCAGCATGAGCAATTCAAAACAAAACTACTTTCAAATTTGACTAACAAACTTCATTCACCTAACTTGAAGTTATATTCATCGGAGTGAAGCAAACATAATACTACGCAGAGCAAGTTTATCTTGGCTTTGCAGATGTAAAATACAGCGCTACAATAAAAATAAATTTATAATGAATATAAATTCATATTTCATCTTGTAAGTTGTAGGTAAAATATTCTTGCTTATAAAGTTGTATGTGATAAATAACAATTGAATCCGGCAGTAAGTTAACCCAGACGCAATATAACAAGCAGGCGATTTTAATATTTTCTGTCAGAATCGTAAAACTGCTAGGAAAGACTAATATTGGTTGGTCTTCCTAGACGGAAATTTTACAGGACTATATATTCCATATTTATTTATAACATACAACTTTGTTTTAATCGTTCGTTCCCAAGAAAGGTTTGATCCAACGGTAAGGTACATTGTCTCAATTCCTCTAACATTTACTCAAGTTGACGTAAATGCTGCATTATATTGCAAAAATCAACTTGGAAATATATCTAACTGGATGGCCATGTTCTGTGATGATGTATAGTTTCCTTAATTTTTTTTTGTAAGGCCCGTGGCCATAAACCCTGAAGCATTATTAATGTAGTATATTTCTCTCGCTACAGTGTTGTTGGAAAATCTTTGTCTAAAGTGCTTAATATCTCGCTCATACAAGACACTCTAAACCATCATAGCTGCTTGCAACATTCTCTTACTATTGTTCAAATATTCCCCAAACAACTGTCATTTTCATGACCAGTTCTCGCGGACGTACTAGAAACGCGGTCGTACTAGAATAGATGTTGAACAAAAATAATTTTTATGTATGCCTTTTAATTTCGTTGAAATAAAAAGTGCAATAAAATAACGTACAGTCACCCTCGAAAAACACGCCCCCGCAACATCCTCAATGCAGAACAAGCAGGTTATGGCCATCAAATCCAACAATATGCTGCGCACATCAGGCTCAGAGAATCTTTAAACATCAATTGATTATCGGAATGAATATTTATGCAAAATTATCAACTCAATATTCCTGATTGACTTTAAAACATTATACACAAAAAAGATCATTACATTACAAATTACATTTTCAAAATTTCAGTGTCTGTGGCAACTCTGAAAATGGTTTTATAATGAAATTATTAGATGGGATTCACATGGCAAGGTCACAGAAATACATTTCTTTAACTACGAGACCAAGTTATGGGAAAATATTTGGAAGTGAGATAGTTTTTAGCGCATTTTCTTCTCATTTATGGAAAAAAAGGCGCTATTGTGCTCGTCATGTCCCTCCGTCTGTCCGTCCGTCCGTGACTTCACGTTTTCGTCGACGAGAAAATGCGCTCTCTGTCACTCACTGCAGTGAGTACTGAGTTATATTTTTTAGAGTTTACCTTATGGGCATAGGTGTTGATGGCAGCAAGACTCTTCTTGGCGCTGGCGAGGCTGCTGGACACGCTCGAGAGCTTGTCTGCCCCCGCGTCACCAGAGCGCAGGAATGACGCCGGAGATTTCTTAACACGTGCTGCTGCTTGCTTTTTACGTTCCCTGAGACAGATTAGCAAAACAATCAAAATTACAATATGTGAAATTACCTACATTAGTTCAATATCCAATAATTTACTTTATTCGAATCGTGGAAATTCGTCCGCAACTTTACATACCTACTACTAACGACGCAAATGGCACCTGCAAATTAGTCAACATAAATGCAATACCATGCAAATAACAAAAATAAGTATAACCTTATGTATAAAGTATAGTCAATAACCTTAAAATTCAACCTTGAGGTTGAATTACTTAACCTTGCTTCGAGAGATAGGGCTAGAAACGCGAGTTTAAAAAAAGCGTTATAATGGCCATTTAGTGCGTTAAGTTATTGTGCATGACAACTTGGCAGGCTCGGCCAGAAGGTTAAACCATCATGGCGGCTGGTTGATGAATTCGAACTGCTCTCATAACTAAAATAAATACTACCTCTGCCCATCAAATTGTTAGCTTAGCTAACCAAAGATCAATATTCTTTATTCTGATTTAGCTTGTACATTAGTGTACAGGAAATGCAGGTTAATTTGTCAGAACAAAAGGTCTTAGAGCATGGATGGAAATACGCTCCAACCTGTCCATCTTGTCACGCAGCGCCACAGCTCTGTAGTGCTCCAGCAGACTCAAGATTCGCTCCTTGTTGGGGGGCTCTTGCTCTGGCCAGCCACCTGTAGCTGCAGTAAGAACGTATATAATTGTGACGCATCGCTTCAGGTAAACAATGAATGGAAACAACAGCTAAATTATATTTTTAACATCAAATTGACCAGAGTGCTTCTAGAGAGTGCTTCTCGAGCAGGTCTATACAGATATAATATGAAGGCAGGGAATTGATCAAGCTTTAGACAATGTGAAAAACATTTAAGCTATTCAGTGAAAACATCAGACTTAAAATAAAATATCGTAGATTTTAGCACTATAAAAGTGTGCATACGACTTTACAGGAATAAGTGGTGCTCAGAGTAGAAAATTATTAAGACAAGAAAGTTTATCGAAGATGGCACATCTCATTTGATGAGGCTTGTAGAAAGGGAAATCAAGCTAGGTTTGTAGTAACAGAAAGTTATCTGTAACAAACGTGAGAGCTCTGAGTAAACCCTGGTCAACCCCAGTAAGCTCTGGTAAACCCTAGTAAACCCCAGTAAGCTCTAGTAAACCTCAGTAAGCTCTATTAAACCCTTGTAAACACTAGTAAATATTTTGCCTATTGCATGTTTTGTGTGTACAGATTTATGTTGGCTAATTTCAATGGTAGAAAACCCCCCAGCAAATCAAAAAACCCTCAGTTTATAAAAAAACCCTCAGTTTATCAGAAAACCCTCAGTTTAACAGAAAACCCTCAGTTTAACAGAAAACCCTCAGCTTATCAGAAAACCCTCAGCTTATCAGAAAACCCTCAGACCTCAGTTTATCAGAAAACCCTCAGCTTATCAGAAAAACCTCAGTTTATCAGAAAACCCCCAGCTAGATGTTAACTAACAATCAATGCGAATACATTTATATATTAGACAGTAGATAATGCATGGCATGACTTGAATGGTGTGAGTATTAGGAAGGAGAGGTGGGGGGTATTTTGTATTACAATTTACATTTGTTTTAAATGGATACTGTGTCTCAACATTACAATAAAACATCATGTTTTTGTTGACTATTTTAATTAATCTATCAATTATTATTTAGAAGTGCTCTGGGGGACATTCTGTGCATTAAACTGTCTTGAACAGAAGTTACAAGTCCTTCTTAAATCAAGCAAACCTAAATAAACACTTAACGGTAAAGTTAGTTTTCTAAAAAATTTCTCAACAAAAAAATAAATCACTCAGAATTGTGTCCTTAACAAGGCACCACATGAACCGTACCAACAGTTTGATCAGGGATATTAACATCCCTACTAGTCCAGCGGCACCCTGAGCACGACAAGAAGTAAAGCTTGCGCTGAATGCTGCGGCTGGGCTGCTCAGGGTCAGGGCTCTGGATGCTCAGCCTGGTAGACAGTGATTGTCCACAGCTTGGGCAGTCAAAACAGTTGCCACACCTGCAGTAATGGAACAATTAAGTACAAAATTCGGCAAGCAATATAAAAATGTCATTGATACAAACAATAAACTAGTTGGATTTGTTTAATGGATATGCAACTATTTTCCTACAATGAATATTGATTTTAAATTTACCAAATTATCATCGTGTAAAGATTAAAATGATGCCCAAGATCAGAAAAGAAAAACAATGGATTCTACTTGCCTGTTTTTCTTGAGCCTTGCCTCTGGAGCAGGCATGTTTTCCAGGCAGTTGGGGCAGTAACGCATGTCCAACTTTAAACAGAAGAGATAAGATTAAGTTCCACAAAACAATCACACACAGCTACTGAATACTAAGAATAAAATAGGTAGGAATGCCTAGTACCATACATTATTAATTTACACTGAAACAACTCACTGCGTAGTAGTTAGCATATCAATGTAGCAATATTAGAAAATATCTGTTGAAATTTTCCAACATATAATTACCATGGAATTTTTAGGCAACGCAAATGAGTATACATAAAATTTATATTACTAACAATGAAACGAAGAATTAGGAGCCCAAATGCTGACCTCGTGAGAAACGCAGTTTGAACATCGGAGCTTGACACAATGACGGCAGAAGTAGATGCCAGTGATGGGCTTCATGAGTCCACAGGAACACAGCAAACGCACCAAATTGGCATCAAACAAATGAGCCATTGTCAATTATTTTGAGGTTGTTAAGTTAAAATTGAATTTCATGAAATATTTATGTTTTAATGAAGCAACTTTACTAATTAAGCTTTTCTGAATTAAATATTTCACTGTAGAAAAATAATAGGATGAACTAGTACTACTAGTTCTAGTAAAACTAGTTTTACTAGTTCTAGTAAAACATGGAGAAAATATCATTGATCAATGTAGTTTTAACTTGTCAAGAGGAAAAACACCAGCATCATTCAAACAAAATATCCTTAAAACCAGTTCATTTTCAATTCCTTTATCTACTTCAGAACTGTATAATGACTACTACTACTTGCATCCATGTACGGTACTACTTTTACAACTTGTATCCACTATGCTACTTTGTATAATGATACTACTACTTGTATCCATGATACTTTGTTGGTATGCTCAGAGAACTCAAAATGGAAGTCTAAAAAAAAGTCTTTGCTCTGTCACTTTGAATTGTCATTTTTTGCATATTTCTCAATGCTAACAACAAACTAAATCTGAATTTCTAAAATTCTTATGATGCATCAGTAGATGCCAATTTGTTTGTTTAAATATCTGATTTTAGCATGCAATCTGAAATAAGAAAAAAAAGTCCTATTTGTTCAAAAATCTTTTGCAAAATAATCAATTATTCCAGGTCATTGCAGAAGATAAATGACCTCAAGATCTAGCTAGCTAATCGTTTTAATGACCAAAATTTGGTCATTAACTTAACCCATTAATGCCGAGCGGTTCCATTTGGAACCAGCAGAAAAAAATGGATTCATAATAAAATTGTATGGTCAAATCAATATACTAGTGGATGCGTAGGTTTGATACACATCTTGGACGTGTTCCGGCAACGTTTGGTTCTGCTGCGCCGACTACTCCCTGCTCAGTTAACATTAGAAGATTGTAAGTACCGGGTGTCAGACAGAAGGGCTTGACATCATTGCAGAGAAAGGTAAGTAGTTCGTTCTAAGAATATATTATTTATGAGTTAGATGCAGAATTTTATCGATAAAGAGAGTACTTTTAATTCTGTATATGGTATTACGTGATATAATGTTTCTAAAGTTTTTAAGATCATGAAATATTTTGTCTGGTTCCAAATGGAACCGCTCGGCAGTCGTGTAAGCATTCCGGTCATCTCACTTTCCCAGTAGATTTTTTTATGATAAAGTTACGCATTGTATTTCAAAAACTTGTTTGAACTTAGAAATTATTTATTTAGATCTTAGATCAACAGTTTTTCTGTTATTTGTTAGTGAACTATTATCTTTAGAGCTGTTAGGAATATATATCTCGAAAGTTGAAATATTTGGAAGTAGGTACGTTGAACACTATACGATTGTTCATCCCGAGTCACTTTTTTCTAATTGTATTTTGGCATATCATCACATGAAATAATTGACATTTAGAGAAAAGAATAACACGAAGATCAAATATTTCTACTGAACATTTCACAGAAGCAGCAACAAACGAAACATACTGAGATTCAGATAACTCAGATGGCGCAGCCACTAGCAATTCTGCTGGCCAATCGAGAATAGTCATTGCAGCAACAGTACGGTAATCACCAAATGTGAAAACAATGACTTTCGATAGAGAAGAAGTCAACTGTGGTCATATACTACGACATATACGTGGCTAGCTCGTGAGATTTAGTTATAAACTTTGGGCAGCAGATAAATCAGATGATATTTTTCTGCAATTGAAGCCAATCGGAGGATCTAATAGAAAAATAAACTTATTCATGGGCTGGAACATGGATTGGTCCCATAAACATGATACAATTGGTCCCAAGCCAACATATTATATGTGATATCTATTCTGGTTTCATCTGGCTTCTCAAAAAACATTTGAAAAAAAGATGGCTAGTGCAATAAATTTTCAAAAAGATCGGTTAAGAAATGCAATAATGCAGGAGACCCTAAATAAAACAATCAGGGTCTATAGTGCACCATTCTACCTTGATCCTTGATGAAGTGCAATACAACAATCAACAACATTGGCCAGCAAAGAGACATCAGAAGCACTGCAAATGCAGTGCTTCATAAACAATGTTGACAAGGCACCCACAAACATTCGTAAAATGGGAAACCTCCCTATTCATTTTGAATGAAGGGAAGAATTCTATGCTAAAAATTAAATTGTATTCTGCCATGATTGACTTATCATCAGTATTGTCCATTATGAATAACCTTGCTTGATTTACTATCGGAAAAAGTGTTGTTTGAAGAAACGTTATGTTAATGCCGAGCGGTTCCATATGGAACCAAGCTATAATTTTTCACATACAACAAAAAATAAATATATGAACATATTTTTTGCTTATTAACATCACAAATGATAATATTCTCACAAGGAACCAAAAAAAAAAATTCAGTAAATAATTCTCGTCATTAATGGGTTAATCAAGAGTAGTTTAAATTCTTAAAACTCAGGCCACACTATAAAACCTAGTATTTAATTGTAAAATAGCAAAATTGGGCAACAAAATCACAAATTTATTGAAAATTAGTCAGAGTTTATTTTGGGTTAGTAAACATCTCCATTCCAATTTAGCTACAGTTCTATGAAAGTTAAGGTTCTTCTTCAGTTCTAATGTTCCATGAAAGTTAAGGGGAGCGTCTACCCTCAATTTTATCTCCGTAATTTACCGAGGGATCAATTTGAAATTTGGTACACATGTGTAAACCCTAAAAAACTCAGATTTTATTAATGTCAATGTTTGGAAAAAATGTAAAGAAAACGTGAAATTCTTTGAAAACGGCCAAAAAGAGGTACTCTCCTCCTAGGATTTTCAAGCTACAACATTGAGACACATATCATTCAATGCGTAAAGACCATATCTGCAAACTGGTTGTGGGGTTTTTTTGAATTTCTAATTTTTGTAAGTGTGGGAGCATTTTGTCCAAAATTTTTCGAAGTTTTTTATTTTACTTACACTTTACCCCCTTTTTGCAAAATAAAATCCAAAATATATAAAACTTGGAAAAAAACCCACAACCAGTTTGTAGATCTTCTCCTTGCAAATCGAACGATATACGTCTCATTGATGTAGCTTCAAAACTCTAGGAGGAGATAGGTTTGCCATGAGAGAGGTTTTCATGTTTTCTAACTTTTCAGTAGAGGCGAAAAACCGCGGCGCGCTATGTAAAGGCATGTAACGTAGCTTAGATACTGGAAATAAGCGTTATATAACTTCAAAGTCAGTCAGCGGTGCATAGGACAACTACATCAACACCTTTCTGCATGATGGCTGAGTGATAACTGAGCTGCAGGTCCAGTGATAGCCATTGCCATTTATTTGGCTTGGCCGTAATTTTCCCCATAGACTTTTGTGAAGGGACCCCACCACCATCCCCCCTTTTGGGATCTGTCCTGAATGCATAAATCAACGTACAGAGATGGTTCTAGTACCGTTCGATGCAGCAGAAAGTAAGCTTTGAGATGAGCTTATAAACTGGAAAAACCAAAAATTTTGATTTTTAGGGTAGACGCTCCCCTTAACAAACTAAATATTAAAGTTATTCAAGTTTTATGCCTCTCAGAAATTTTATTCAAAAAGTATAAATTTTACCATGAACAAGATTATATCAATTCTGGAAAATAGGGTAGAAGCTCCAGTGAACAAGACAAAATGCATGTACTTGCCATAAGGATTGGAATTTTCACACTCATTATTGAAATCTTGCAGCTCCAAAGTGACATTTTTTCAATACTAGTACATTTGATATCTTGTGGCCCAGCTGTGCACTTCTGTTTACAATTTAATTTATGTATTCATCTAGGAGGCATCTCGTGGTTCTGAAAATTACAGGATAGCTGTAATTGCAGCATGAAAGCTTGAAAGGTAGATATAAAGTCAAATAATCAAATTTTTATTGCCCTCACCTAAATTCTTTCATAAGAACTAGAAAAATGACACATTTTTGCCTTTATTTATTTGTAAATTATCCAAAAAATGTAAGTTTATACCTGCAATTTTTGGAAAATTTTACCCAGATGGTCATTTTATCATGCACTTTACTTGATAATTAGATTGGAGATAATTTACCTTCCCTGAATCTCCCAGCTAAAGAATGGCAAGAAAGATCTCGTCATGGCTCAAAGGGTAGATATATTTTTTGCCAGGGGCTATTGGTAGATATAAACCATAATACAAGGTGACTTGGACTGGTGGGATGGGAGTGCAGCTGTGCACCACCAATTTTGTGCACCAATAAGCCCTGAATCGAACGCCTTGGATCTCTCCGGATATCCACCAATCAGCCGTGCACCACTCGGCGTTGTCCTCCTCCGGCCTTGACCACCACCTGCCGTGCACCACCAGGCCGCAGATCGAATCTGACTTCCGGGCATAGTTAAATTATGTAATTTTACGTTCACCGCATCTGAGGTTAGGTTTCAGATAGCATAGTTCTGTTCCAAAATTTATCGTCCTTCGACAAGTAGCCATTCGACCGAGGGCTGGTTCGACCCATGGCCTAGATACGGACGGCTTGAAGTGTCAAAGGCTACATTCCGTAAGGCAGGAATCATGATGGTCCATTACATCCAGGGCAGTTGTGGTCTTCGGCAGGCGACCTGGTGGGATGACTCCCTTCCCACCCCCAAGAAGAAACCACCCCCTTCCCAAAGAAAACCCTTCAACTCATAAAGCTGTTGCCTTTGAAAAATTATGTTGATGGCTTTTGAGTTCCAACCAACAAATTTAATAAAGAGATATAGTTTACACATTTATAACAATGCACACTGATTATTTGTAGCTATCACAAAAAGTAAAGTAAGCACTAAAAATGCACAAATACCCCATCAATATACCCCTGCTTATTTGACAGAATGACCCCTAATTATGATACATTACACTCCAAGCCTTCCAGTTTTGTGTATTGCAGCCAACCTAAGCCAATTATTTTTCAAAATGGAAGCAAATATCCTCAATGACATGGACCAGTCAAAATGAACCCGAATGGGGTGAATTGGAGCAAATTATATTGTAATTAAAAATCACATTTGATCACATATACTAATGTGTATAATGCTTTCTATCTATTTTCTAGGTTACTTATTGTTCTATATTCATGTCTATTAACCAGTGAATCAA